AGCACTGTGACAGTAAGCTGTCTTGCGTACGAACACAACACAAACTCCACTTCAAACTGCATAAGCTAACTTAAATGGCTCCACTGGTTTATTAGTCAAACTGGACAAAATGTATAAACTGCACAATCTGGTTTGATTAATTCAAGTAGTTAAAACAGTCAAACTAGTTTCATTGGTTCAGCTGGTTATATTGCAACAACAAGCGAAAACAGTTAAACAACGAAAATTGTTTAATCTCTAAATTTTGTCAAGAAATGTCATTTAACTCAAATAATCAAACTACCTCATGGCATAACTAGGTTAAATGGTTCAAGTGCACAATCTGCACAATCTAGCCTCATTGATTTGAGTAGCTAAATTATTCAAACTATTTTACTTGATTCAATTGGACATATAGTCCCACTAGCGTAGACATTTTAGCTCTTTAAATTGCACAATGCATCTTAATTAGTTGAAGTCGTAGCCATACTAGCTTCACTGGTAAAACTGGATCATATGTATTATTGGCTTAAAAGGTTCGACCAAACAAAATGCATATTTAGCTTTAATGGTTCAACTGCACAATCTGCACAATCTACCTTAATTGATTCAATTAGTTAAAATAGTCAAACTAGTTTACTTGGTTCGACGGATTAAATATTCAAATTAGTTGAACTGCACAAATTGCAAAATCTATTTAGATTGGTTGAAGAACTTCATACGCTCAAACCAGGTTAAATGAATAACTCGACTGGACAAAATTCACAACTATCTTAAAGAAGTTCAACTGCTATAGTTCTGCAATCATGATTAATCGGTTCAACTGGTTAATTGGTCAAACTAGGGAAGACAGTTCCAGTTTAAATGGTTCAATTGAACCATCTACCTTTTTTGTTTTCTTTAATTAAAATAGTCAAACTATCTTAATTAATTCTCTAGGTTAAATAGACAAACTAGAAAACAATTAATGTACACAAAATGCACCACCTATCTTATTTGGTCGAAGTCGTTCAAATGGCCAAACTAGCTTAAATGGTTCAACTGCATAGTCTCTAGAGTAGAGCTTAGTTTGTTTAAGAAGATAAAATAAGCCAAACTAGCTTAATTGTTTTAACTGGTTAAATAGTCAAGCAAGCAAAAACAGTGAAACTGCTTTGTATCGCAAATAGTTGAAGTAGTACAAATGGTCAAACTAGCTTCAGTGCTTCTAATGGACAAAATTAATCTATTCCATAGATGGTTCAATTGCACAGTCTCCATAATCTGCCTTAATTTGTCAAAGTAGTTTATATTGTCAAACTCTAGTGTAATTGCTTCATCTGATTAAACAGTCAAACTAGTGAAAACAATAAACCGGCACAAATTGCACGATCTATCTAAATTAGAAAAGTAGTTCAAATAGTCAAATTAGCTTCAATTTATCAGCTGCACAGTACAATCTAGCTGAATTGGCGCAAGTAGTGAAAATAGTCAAACTAAGTTAATTAGTGTAACTGGTTCGATAGTCAAATCAGCAAAGAGTTTAACTGCACAATTTGCACAATCTACCTCTGATCGTTGAAGTAATGAAAATAATTAAACTAGCTTAATAGGTTCGATCGCACAATCTAACGGTTCACTTTGTTAAAGTGCCTGTGACACGAAAGTTGTCTTGCCTTTTCAGGTTGATAGCTGTATTTAGAATAATAAATAGTCGATCTTAGTGCCTAGCGATTTCTCCTTGACCATTTTTTCATCTATTAAAAGTACCATTTGCCGGCCAAATAGTGTCCCTATTAAGCGCACGGCTAAAACGATCTGTTACATACCTGTGACGCAGAGGACTGTGAAGATACGTCGGCAACTATGGTGGAGAAAGGAGAAATCTAGAAGAAAGAACAAACCCATTACGTGGCCTGAGCGCAAAATGATGTAAGCTGCAAGAATAATAAAAATATATCGGGTATTTCACATATATAAGGCATTTTTATACACTACTTTCTAAAGGATGTAGCTGTATGGCCAAAATGGACGCGTTTCGATCCTCGACATCGAGGAGATTTAATCCTTCAATTTCGTCGGCTTTACGCTCCGTACCGCCTTCAAAGACGGCTGTAACCAGCACATATCACTATTCAAATCAGAGGAAGATAACCAATGAATTCAGCCTAAAGGAATGCTGATTAAGGGCCTGTTCCCACGCCGTACACTATTGGTTCTACATTCTATGTGGCTGACATTTCGCACGCGAAGATGCTGAGCTCCTTATTGTTTTTTATTTCAAGCGCTCGAGATGTACTCATACTCATTGTCTTTTCACATGACTACCTTTGCACTTTTCTCATTGTATGAAAATCCTACCAATTATAGTTTCCATCGTATTTTGATAACAGAAACACAATCAGGCCCTTTCAAAAACAAAAACTCGAAGGGATTATGAACTCTCCTTCCCTAGGTTTCCGAAAATCCATCCCACGAGCAATCCATTCCCCCCTGTACTCAATACTTCATTACGCTGGCGGGCAGTTAAGGATATCTTCGACACGCTCCCAGACACCGAAGCCGAAGAAGGTGACAATCCCTTAGAGAAAGCCGTAACCGCTCTCACAAACTACTCTAATCCGAGAAAGAGTGTTGCTTTTGAAGAATACCAATTTAGACTGGTGAAACAAAATCCAAACCAGTCAATTATGACATACTACACTAGAACTAGCGAAGACATGCAAATTCACAGACATTGACCGAGAGATGAAATCTAAAATAATTCAGCATTGTGTGTCTTCAAATGTGAGAAAAAAAGCCCTCAGCGAGCCAACCACAACACTAAAAATCATACTGGAGTACGGTAAAACCCCCTCGAAAAAACCAAGATTTAAGCAGCTAGGCTTGAGAAACATGATACCAACTATGTATATAGATGCCATGAGGCACATCCAAAGACATCATGAACCGGAACTCCTACGCCAGACTACGGACCACCACGGAATGAATCGAAATAAAGAATTCGTGGCTGTTGTCAAACCCATATAAGGGAGGTCGAACAGCCTACCCAGCATATAAAAAAGAATGCTGTGGTTGCAGGAAAATCGGGCACTTCAATTCAGTTTGTCGTAGCACTGGAAAACAAGAAAAGTCTCCGGCACCAAAGGAAGTACCGATAAAGGTTAAAATCCTCATCGAAAATTACGACAGTGAGGACGAATATATTATATCAGACCTGACGTATGGAGCGTCAACGATAGTAGAGCTAAACACCCACAGTTCCAAGTGAAAATCAAAGAACATGGTGCAATATTCAAGCAGATTCCGGATCGAGCATTTATCTGTTCAATGAAAAGGACTTTAAGGACACTGTTGATCGTTCGATACTCCAACCTACATTTACGACAGTATATCCTTACAAATCCGACATGCCCCTAAAGATGCTGGGAAAGTTCGAAGCGAACATCGTCGATAAGAACAGTAAAGCGTCGCAGGAAACCATAGACGTCACCAAAGGCGCCGGAGGATCTCTACTCAGTTTGCGTCGCTCATCTAGGTCGCAGCAGCCTTATCAACCCAAGATCAAAGATCAGTCATCGTGGAGCTCGTAGAAGAATACAGCGACCTATTTACCGGCTTGGGAAAGCTCAAAGACTTCCAAGTGAAATTACACGTTGACATCAGCATACCGCCATCAGCCCAACCACACCGACAAGTACCATTTCATTTACAAAAACAACTAGAAGAACAACAAGAAAGAGATGAGAAGAATGGCGTAATAGAAAAGGTGGAGGGACAGACAACTGGTACCCTCACAACACGCGAACCGATGTGAACAATGTCACCTACAAAGCTGTCGAACGCCTTAAGGGAGAGCTGACGGTCTGCTCTTCATTGACCATCCTTCTTCGTGAGACCAGGATTGTAGCCCTTAATCGCTACAACAAGAAGTCGTCGACCTAGCTAACGAAGGTCACCAAGGTATCGTGAAAAAAAAGTCACTTCTCAGAACTCTCTCAAGGTTTGGTTTACCAGTATAGACTAACTATTGGAGGATACTGTGAAGTCTTGTTTAGCCTGCCAGGCAGCCACACCCAAAGCGAAGAATGAACATTATTTGCGGGTCCTTGGGAAGAACTCAGCGTCGACTTCAAAGAGTTACCTTCCGGAGGATACTTGCTGGTCGTCACAGATGACTACACCAGATACCCTGTGGTAGACGTGATGCAAACCGTATCATTCCGAGCTGTTGAGCCTCGACTGAACAAAATCTTCGCATAATTTTGAATCCTGGAAGTCCTTTGCTCTGACAACGGACCATCGTTCAACAGCAAACAATTTGCACACACCCTGGGGTTCAAACAATGCAAGGTCATCCCGCTCTGGTTCAGGGCGAAATGGAACGCTTCATGCGCACAGTTAAGAAGACCATTGGAAGTTAAAGCAGCGAATGTAAATCATCGCCCATGAAAGGAAGAACTGCGTGATCTGTTATGTAATAAGAGAGCCACTCCACACACGTCGACAGGTATACCACCGTATACCACCAGACAGCACTGTTCAACCGATCGATACGCTCAAAGCTACCGCAACTCACCCCCCGCACAAACCCGAGACTCATTGATCCGAGACAAAGACGACGCCACAATGCGAAAGATGAAGGAATATGCGGACAGCAAGAGGTATATCAAACCAACTAATCTATTTGAAGGGGATATGGTACTTGCCAAATGCAAATCATCGCACAAGAATATAGCTACACCATACGATCCAAAGCCATATATCGTAAGCCAACGCAAGGGTGCAATGATAACAGCAAAGAGGACTGACAAAGAAATCAAAAGGAATTCGTCCCTCTTCAAAAGGGTGGACCCTCATACGGCTCTTAAGCCGGAAACCGAGATCGACGACGAAGAACTGGAGCTAGGACTGGAGGATCCCACAGCGTTGCAAAAAGTGGAATAGGCAACTTAATGGCGTTACCCTGTGCGAAAGTCGAGGAGGGCGCCTGCATACCTCAAAAACTATGTGGGACGTTGTTGCTGTGTTTGATTACTAAGATGACTGATTATAGTCTACTTGATTACGAACGAACAAGTTATTGTATGTGAATAATCATTATCGGAAATTAATCAAGTGACATTTCGAGATAGAGCGTTGTGATTTCGATTGTACCGCTTCATACAAACTGTTCTTGTGTTTCGAATTATGTCCTCCTTCTAGAGTTCTAAAAGAAGAGGGATGAACTGTTGTTACTGTTAGTGCTAAGTCAATGTGTAACCGGGTCACTTGACACGTAGGTCATGTGACACAATGTATGGATAAGACAAGAATTGTAGAAATGAAAAGAGTATCAAAAACCACCACACAGGTATACATCGCCATCGGACATTATTTCAGGAGTATTTATACGCTGTCTGACACAAAATTACGAGACGTGTGAGATTTGTAAGTGTTTGTAAGCTAACTCATTACCAGTCCACAGGACACGTTTAAGACAAAATAAGAGCACTTTTGGGCCCAAAAAAACCGAATTGTAAGTTTTCTTTTTAATTTTTTTCTATTGGAATTGGCCTGTACATTTAATAAGCTAAATATCTACGCAAAGAAAACTGCGTGTCATGGGCACTTTTAATAATAAAACTAACGAAGACAGTTTTCCTGCACAAATTGCACAATCTATTTTGATTGCTTGAAATTGTTTAACTGGTTTAAATAGTCAGACTAGTTGCAACGGTAGAAATCGAAAATATGCACATACTAGCTGAATTGATTCAATTCATTAAAATTTTTCAAACTAGCTGAAACGGTTTATATGGAGGAAATACACAAAATAGCTTAATTGTTTTAGCTTTTTGAATTTGGCAAATTACCTGAAACGGTTAAACTGGACAAAATGAACTATTTAGCCGAATATGTTCAACAGGTGAAAATGGTCAAATTAGTTAACACGGTTTATCACATAAACTTTGTTGTTATACAAGGATTTCCGGCCCTGAGAAAGTTGAATTAATTAATTGAATTTCTCGAATTACGGCAGCTAAAACACTAAAAAATCCGTATCGCTGACAGACAGTGGGCTCAAACTTACCTAGAGGGAGAAGAAAACCAACATACTGAAAGGAAAACTGAAAGTTACGTATTCGATGGTTTTGGTGTTAGCATTTCTCTTGGCTGAGAATGAAAATCGAAAACTGGAGGATAGAATATCATATTTCCGTCATTAAGTCGTATTTTCCTCTCGGCTTCGTATAATTTGCGGCAATCAAAGACTCAGAGAAATAGAAAATATTGACAGACTTAGAAGGATAGCAATTCATATGAGTCTTCAGTCGATACATTATCAGGTGATGCCAGGCCAGAGGATGGCAAATAGACAGGAACTTAACGCGTGCATAGTCGCTAACATATTCTGAGTTTTGAAAAGATTCTTAGGAATGTCATCGCACGCGGATGACGTACTGCGCGTATTTCAGTTTCGCCTTTCGGACAAGATCAAATACTAATTTGCATACGACAGCAAGCTTTGTTCACATTACACACGTCATACAAATGAGACTTAATGGGTTAAGTTTGCAAAACTAGGTAGGTGTTTCATTTGCATATAGCCTTATTTCAAGGAACCTTTTTTTTTCAAGGTTTAATCAAACTTCAGATATGTCTGATGGAGGGTTGCTGTTCAGTGTACCTCCAACTGTAATAATTACTTTGCTTATCATTGTCTTCTAAAATATTTTTGGCGGTGGAAACCTTTCATTCTCCACAGCTTTGTTCCTGATCGTGTGTTTTGCTGACGAAGGAGGGAACAAACATGACGATAATGATGAAAAGATAACAATTCGTGGCAGTAACGTGTCGGCCAGAATACTTGGTCGGTCAGGAAAAATAATGGTTGTACGAAATGAAAAAGACGACGATGATGATAAAGATGACAAGGATAATGATGACAAAGACGACAGAGATGACACAGACAAAGACGACAAGGATGACTCGGACAGCAAGGACGACAAAGATAATAGAGACGGCAAAGATAGTCAAGATGATAAGGACGGGTCCGACGGTAAAGATGACACAGACTATGATAAAGATGATGAAGATGATGACGATGATGATGATGATGATGATGACGATGACGAAGATTTTAACGACAACAACGAAAACTTGTTAACTTTTGAACTCGATGAAATCGAAGAAAAAGATGCAGATGACAATGATGTCGATGACAAACATTCCGTGGATTCCTTTGATGATGTGAAGTTCACTTTTAGGAAAGTAAATAAGAAGTCTACGCTCAATGGAATCCGCGTCACTACTGTGAGCTTGTCAACTAATTTTGATGATCAAAAGGCTTCACTTGAAATCATAGTGTACTTGTTTCATGAACCTGGGAGTGTCAAATTTGGTAATGAGACTTTTGCCGTACAAAGTGGAACTGTCAAGTTCAATATTAAGGTGAGTAAATGCAGCCAACAGAGCTGCGTATGATTTCTGTTATAATAAAACTTATGGTTCTATCAACGTGGCCATTTTTTACCATTTCTATAATTTAAATTTTCTGAACTATTGTTTTACGGTAGGAAAATCTGTAATTTATCAGTGCAGGAGAAACCATAGAGCTAGAGATGGTAAGACTAAGATCTGAAACAAATTTGATAAGCAATGGAAGTTTAAACCTCTATCGTAATTATTTCCAGCTTTAAGTGGATCTATTACTTTTACATATCATCCCCAGCTTGTGATTTCAGTCGTTGTATTAGGGTGTGTGTGTGTGCGTGTATCCGTTTAGCTATAATAACTTCCTAGAGAGATATGTATTCCTTCAACGAGTATCAGTGAAAAAGAAAATGATAAAAAAATGAAGTGGTTATGATAAATTGCTCATATGTATCTAATATAAAACAGATCAGTAACTGGGATTTCTGTGATAAAGACGATTCACCTGGAGACTGCAGTGAGAGCAAAGTAGGAAAATATCTCGATCTTAGCCTTAAAATAAAGAGCAAGGGATCTCCGAAAGAGGTGGACGAGGATGACCGCAAAAAAAAAATCTGCAACTCTAAAGATGACGATGATGATGACGATGACGATGATAAGGATGAAGATGAAGATGATGATGACGATGATGACTGCCCTATCATATACGACGTTGGTGGAGACTCGGAAATGCTGCTAAATAAAGGGGTAGGTCAAGCGAACTTAGACATAAATGTATTTCAAGAGATTAAAACGACTCATCTTGGCTGATTTTTTCTGACATGAGAAATTTTGAACTACAATTAGTAGCAAAATTGTTGACACCTAATCAACGAAATGGCAATATTCTGAGATAGCCAACCAATTTTATCGCTAATACCCTCTTTTTTACTCCCTTTCCCCCTATGCCGACGAGCTTTGATTCCTGTGATAATATAACATTGGTTTGGGGAAGGGGGCTAAGTTAGTATCAACATATGATCTTAGTTGACGGGTGAGACCGACTCAAGTGATCACATTTCGCCTCGAAGTGTAGGCTTCACCAAGCGATTTACGTTTCAACTTTGCCGTTAATTGCAAGCTTGCTTTTCCCCTCGACGACTAAGAACAATATAAATCACGAATCGATTTATTTCAAATTAACTTAAGTTTAACTGAAGTTGGTAAAGAACTTCACACCCCAGTCAATTTATTGCCTCAGTGAGAAAACATTTCCTTCTATGCCTAATTCGATGTGATGTCATTGGAGGCGTAGATATTCCGGATAATAAAACGATCAACTGAATATACTTCTTTCTTGAATCCGACAGGACTTATACTCTAATGTTTTATGAGCGCTCACCATTTTCGGAATGTTAAGCCAAAAAGAAAGTGATATAAGAGTAATTATTAACAATTTCCTTGTAGTAAGTCTTAGGCGTCTTCATATTATAAGCTTATATAAGCTTAGATAAGAATAACAGTTACTCAGTTATTAATTTCTTTTAAATCGATTTCTAATCTGTCTTCCCTTTTCTAAGGTCATAATTGACGATGATGAGTACACTGCTATGCCACAAGGATTTCCCAAATTTGAGTCAGATGACAATGAGAAGAAATTCGTGTTTCGCATCCCGAAGTTTAAGAGACACGTGCTGATTGATCCAAGTGTGAACGTTGGCAAGGTGCTAAAGGAAGTCATTGTCGAGAGTGCTGCTTCTTGGTCACAATTCAATATTGCTGTTACTGTTTTGCTTCTATTTGTAGCTATTTTTACAGCTCAGTTCTAGAATATGGAACAGAACAACTCACCTGATTAAGGCCAATTAAACGTTGTGTTTTTAAGTGTATATCTAAATTGAAAAGTTGATACATGGATCTATATCGAAAATAGTTGCACATAGCATTCTTTTTAGGGCTAATCTCGAGCTGTAAAGATTTTCATCGTTTTCAAAACAGAGACTGATGTTGAATTTTATAAGAGGATAATAGCTGTGCTGTTTCTCCTCGCAAGACTCGCATTCCGTAAAGTGCCGAAAACTTACGGCTGAAATCGAAACATTGAGCGTGCGGCTGGCAATTTTACAATGCAAGATTCAAAGCAAATCCATTTTTTCCTTTTTGATATCTGACTGAAATGGCAGCATGAAATCTCTTTGTCAGATGTTCTTTGCCATTACGACGAGAGGATCTCGATTTTCAAAAGAAACATGTTTTTTTCTGATTTATCTAGTCGAGCTTTCCTGACAAACTAGATGTTATTATAACAATAAAGTTTATCTCAAAGAAAAAGTGTACTAGTCTTAGAGAAGGCCCACAAACATGAACGTGATTGTTGTCAATGATATCAGCTCAGAGTCCACGACGTTGTCGGCGATCTGTGTCGCAGTTCTGGGACCTTCTTGAGCGACCTCTTAAGGTGATTTTTTTTCAGACAATGATGGTCAGAGAAATTTAACTGTCTACCCCCCCCAAAAGCTTATTTTTAACCGTTGACTGTCGGATATACTTTTATTTTGAGACCGTACAAAAATTGCGATATCATTCTTGCGGAGATGATCTCAGTCGTGTCATATTTTATCTCTTTTTAATCATATGTGTTATCCTGACATTTTTATTTTTTGAAATTATCACCTACATTCCTGAATAAACGAGAAAAACAGTCGACGGGTAGGGAGGCAAAAACTAATAACTGTTGCCGGTCGCGGCAAAGTAATGCGCTGAAACAGACTACCACGGACTCTTTCATCGTGTTTTAGCTTGAATTAGTACTTAAGAGCCACTCTGGTACCCTTTCAACTCAAATTAGTTCACCCTTCTTGTCTAGACTCCTCGTTTTATCTCGGCGTAAAGTCACACACAAAATGTTTCTTAACTGCAGTGTTAGTCTATAGGAGAAAAAGACTTTATTCGAGTTTAAACGCCCTCTGCCAATCCTCTCCTCAGGGGGTGAGTGCACCCAAACATGACCCCATTGTCATCTATCGTGAGCGCCACTCCTAATCCTATTGGTCCAAACGCCTTCATATATTCCAGCTCGGTCTCGTTTTGTCCCATCTTACGTACTTCCTGTAACACGTTGTTGGCAACTGAGAACTCTTCTATAGGAACCGCCTGGAAAAAATCTGAGAAGCTCGGCAAAAGAAAAGTAGGGGACTCCATGGCTTCTTTAGGATTCATACCGCTATCCAAGAGGTTGGTAAAGTACTGTGGAACCACAACGGGATACGATTCTCCCACAACAGACAGTGCCATGACTGGCCGCTGGCTTCCGGTTGCCTCGCCACCCTTGAATGCTATAGCAGGTTGAAGGCCCGCTGGAAGCCTTCCCCCGGGAGTTGTCTGCTTGACGAAGGACTTAAATATCGCAGCTGAATGCGGTAAAGCAATTCCCTGCACAAAAAGACCTGTTCCCCACATTTCACTGTTGATAGTGTAAATAATGGAACAAACATTGCCATCCTTGTCGGCTGCGACTATAGAATCTGAGCCATGTATAAAGTCTCTTATGTTCTCCTCTCCACCAAGCAGTCTTTTAATTATGATATTGACGTCTCTCATCTTTTCAGGAGAACCGATCCTCTCCCAAATGGCTTCCGCAGACCCTTTCGAGAGGCGATTGGAGAAATCAAGGTCAAAGTTCTCTTTCAAGATCGATAAGCCAGAAGGGTTTGAGTGCAAGAAAGCAGAAACAAAGAAACTAAAGCGAGAGATCGAGGCGAGTCGGAAAAATTCGGTCGCATTTGTGATGTAACTGGACCCAGGTTTCTGGCCGATTTCTGCCATTTCCATTAGATTCAGCTTTTCAATTAGTTCAATTCCGCCCCAGTCATTTCCAGACGTACACACATTGTATTCGTGATACGACGTATTGAAGGGCTCTTCCCATTGCGTTTGATAGCGGTGCATATCATTTAGGGCAATAAATCCCTTAGCCTCTTTAATCAGAGACGTCATCTGCTCGGCCCACGTTCCATTGTAGAAGAACTCCTTTGGATTCTCAGACACACTTCGTATAAATTCGGCTACTTCTGGTTGTTTGAAAAGTTCGTTAGAGGCGTATGGCTTCCCAGTCTCAGGATTGGTAAAAATCTTTTCACCTAAAGAAATTCAATTATTGAGGATGTTTACTTGTTTTTCATCTTTGTCGTAGGTTTTATTGTGCCCTTCTGTTAAATCTATCTATCTTTCTGTTAATTTTTGTTGAGTTCTGTTTTACCTTTCTAACAGTACTTCATCTCTATGTCAGCTACGCATTTTTCAGTCGATCGTTTGCATCAGTATTTTTTACGGTATTTTCTATCTGATAAATTCAACGTTATCTCTAAGAAAGTTTATTACATGAGTTGGATGGACCAATTCTTCCAGACCTCCACACTTTTACTCCCACATTTCCGAAACCTCACCGTTAATATTACCCACTTTCCAGACTCCCTTCCAAACTTCAAACCCTCTAAACTTTCGCACTTCCTCATTACATACTTCCACATTTTTAGATTTCCAAAACTCCATACCACCCAGCTTTATTCATTCAAACTAAGACTATTTACACTCACTCAGTTTCTCACTTCCATTACTTTAAACTTGCACAAATGTCTTTACAAAGACCTCCTCGCTCTCAAGCATTTAGAGCTGAGAGGTATATTAATCTCCGCGCCTTTCGATATCCTAAGTAGAGCTTACAGATACCACTTCATACCTTCACTTGTTCGCAACAATGTAATGTCGTTTTAGTATATTTTGATGGCGGAAGCCATCCCAGTGGACAGCTTAAATCCGTTTTCAGCGAAATACAACGCGGGCTCGAACAAAGTACTGAGAGGGAACTTTGCAAATTTGGCTGCAGCGTCAGCTACACCCGCAATGAAACCTGGGACGAGAACAGACGCACCATTGGCTCCTGGAGTGTGAACTTTGGGGATCTGGGACGGGTCTCCTTTCAGTGGGGTATTCCAGCCGCCATTGATACTGTACACCTTATTAGATGACTTCTCGTAATAGAGAATTTGCGTGACACCAGCATATGAAACATACGAACCAGTCGCCAGCGTGACCTCTGGGAAAGCAAAACGTAGTTTATAAGTAAGGATATCTCATAAACGTCCCGAACTGTGACCTGAGTATTTCCATCAATCGTAAAGTCATTCGTTCTTCCTTAGTTTATTTTTTTTTTTTGATTAACAACATGGGCGACTACAGCAGTGTCCTAACATTGCCTTGAAATAATTTGGTCTAATTGCGTATTAGGTCAGTGCGCAGATAAACAGAGTCAAAACACAAAGAGTAATAAGAAATTTGCGATGAAGCTGTTGATGTCACGGTCATAACTTTACAAGCGTGATGAGTGTTTTTCATAATTTATGCTAATTCTCTAACTACTAAGTTATTTTATCAGCTGCCGCAATTCTGCACTAAATGAAAAAAGCCTGCAATGCTGCGGAAAAGGTTATTCATGCCAATGAAGTGATTTTTCCCGTCAAACCTCAATCACGTGAGGGCTGAATTGAGCTCCTCACCCGAGGGCTCTTCGCTTAAGATGCCCCACCAAGTCCACCAGGATTTTCATGAAGCGTTTATTATACCTGCAAGGGCAGTTGTCAAACAAGCATCCATAGCATTCCCACCCTTCCTGAGCGCGTCCATTCCCGAGTGCACGGCGAAAGGTTCAGTTGTCCCAGCCACAATCCCTCTACCCTCACTAACTGCCAATGGCTTCGGTCGCTCATAGCGGTTGAGCGACACTCTTTCCAGGTGATCATACTCTTCTTGTGTCCAGTTTGTAGGGGAAAGTGATATGCCCCAGGCTGGAGTCCACCAAGGCATCAGCAGTGCGATAGAAATTAGGAAAATGCGATACATCTTCAGCCGGCTAAGAACAACAGAATGGTTAGACCTTTTTACTGACTGATTTACCTACGAACGCAGCTAAAAGGCTTTAGTTTATTTAGTATGAAGTGTCACTGTATATCGCTGTTCAGATGTTCAAATAAAGTGGGCGGGTATTTTTGAATGCTAAGGTCACACTTTCCCTAATTGATCTTGGTGAGTGAGATTGACACGATTACTGATTCATTCTTTAACTTGAGCCATCAACTAAACAACGAAAAGGGCGACTCAGCCAATATTGAATGGCTTGCATGATTTTCGTGGCTTCGTTCACTCTCCAATACAAGAAAATTTCGAGAATAGATTTGGAAAATAATTAAGACTCTGTGACGGAACTTCGAAAACTGTGCCAGAAACGAAGGAATAACTTCAGGAGATCGTGTTGTTTAGGAGCTATTAGCTATTAGCCTGCCATTTGATAATGACTCACGCTGATGTAACTGTCTCAGTAATGTTGTTGAGACCGGAAAAACTAATTTTCTGCATGGCGACGAGATCATTCTTTTACCCAGCTTACATGTCAGCCGGTTACACTGATTCTTTAATGGAGCGCCCTGGACTTCAACCACCTCATCTCATTCGTACATGAGTTTTGAGGCAAACTAGACTGAATGCTATCGTCGCTGATTGAGGTGGAGGGGGATGGAGGGGGGGCGCGATTCGGAGTAAAGACACGAGTCAATTTTAAAGATTGATTGAATTTAAAGGAATAGTAAATCACAGTTCACAGTTAAGTAGTTCTCATTAGAACACAATGAACTTAACAAACCACTTGGTCTGGCTGTTAGTTAAAGTTAAACTGTTCCACAATCACCTAAAGGCCAGTCGTAGAGAAAATTATTATTTGGCATGTAATTATATCTTATATCCATTTTCGTTTCAAATTAGTGTTTTGGCCGCCGAGAGAGGAAATAATTACCATGGTTTTAAATTTCTTACATCTCTTTTCATTTACACCTAATCCATGAAATAAAAACTACGTGAAAACATCGTCTTTACTTTGATGAACGCGAATTCATGATTTGATGGAAGAGGCACCTCACAGACGATCAGGTAATTTTTGATCAACGAGCGCCATCGACATGATTAGTTCTCGTTGTAACGTCACGTGATAGTTGTTATCCAATAGGATGCCAGATTTTACATGTGCTCGCGATCTTGTACTCGAGTCTTCAGTGAACCGACTTATGGATTAAAAGTATCGTTTGTTTATGTTTACAAGACCCGTTTGTTGCTGTACAAAGCCACAACGTTACATGGTGTCAGGAAGCGGTTCGAATTCTTGCTTTCGTTTGGTTAACAACGTCATTTGAACGTCAACCTTAGTCAACAGTGAGTTTAGCAAGCGATTGAAGCATGC